TTTAATGAGAGACTAAAATATGACTGAAACATTTTGTTTATTATTCCGACGTAGTTATTTTTACGTGATATATTTTTTCATATCCAACCACCTTGGGGGAGAAGGACACATGACGATTGCATTAATAATTTTTTTTTATTTCTAGAATTAAGGGAATTAAGTCTGTGTTACAGACGCAAATGTATTAAAAACCAGAGTCTAAAACTAAAGAACGAAAAGTTTTGACTTAAATTTTAAGTTCATTTTTAAATGCCACTTCTGACTTAATTTAAACCTGAACTTTAATCGTGAGGTTAAATATTTAACCCTGTGGTTAAATATTTAACTCGCCGAAATCGACGAGTTAAAATTTAAATACAGGGTTAAAATCTTGAAATCATGCATTTTCCCTATTTGTCTATGATTCAATCATCATTCAGCTGAGAAAGCGGCATTCAACTTTATGACATATTTAAAAGTGAAAACCTTGTTAAAGAAATTTCACGTTTTAGATAAAATAAATTTTTGCATGTAAACCCAAAAAACGGTTGTACTTGTATGTTTTGTTTTCGGTTACGTAATAACAGCTGATTAGCGATGGGTATGTAATATTCTCCGTAAATCCTTTTCTCTGATTGGTTCAGATTTTTCCCTCAAATTTAAAATTGAGAAAGTTTAATATTTAAGTAGCTACTCATTATTTTACAGAACTTTTAACCTCGAACTTAAAATTCGCGCATTTTTTAGTTTTAGACTCTGATGATGGTATAAACCTTTGATATTTTAAACTTATTCGATCCAGCAGAATATATTCGATCCAGCAGAATATATTCGATCCAGCAGAATTTATAGTTTGAAAAATCTAAGGTCTACGACTTGAGGTGCAAAGTTACGGGGATTAAAAAATCAGAGTTTGTGGCGAAGACTAAACTCCTAATTGTTTAGGTTTCAAGAAGGTTCTTGAGGGAAAAGGAGAAACCAAGTTTTTTAGAAAAAATATTTGTTTGTTTAAACCATCCAAATAAATTCCATAAATTTTTGTGAAAATGTAGGTCGTCTTTAGGTAACTGACTTCAGTTCATAATAAAGAGATGATGACAGTGTTGAGTCACGCTTTGGAATTAAATGCACTAAATCTTCACCGACAAAAAAATGACTATATTTTAATTCAGAATTTATCTTATTTACTTTTATACTTATAAGACCTAAATCTCAGAAATAACGAACAAAATTTAAACAGCAATAAAGTATGTGATAATAGTTTTAAAGAGGTCAATATTAATTAATTAAAAACTAAATATCTGCATCATTCCATGATCAGTAGGTTTGAAAAACAAAATTTTATAAATGTCTCCGAAGCTCTGCGTTAAACTGTATTATCTGTGAAATTTTGTTAAAATATTTAATAAATGACAAATTATAAATATAAAACTAAATCTTGAATTAAAAGTTAGTGCACTGCTTCTTCAGTTTTTCAAAAATCATTCTTTCTCTAATGGATACAAATGGATGTATAACGGATAAAAATGGATGTATAACGGATAAAAATGGATGTATAACGGATAAAAATGGCTGTATAACGGATAAAAATGGATGTATAACGGATAAAAATGGATGTATAACGGATAAAAATGGATGTATAACGGATAATAATGGATGTATAACGGATAAAAATGGATGTAAAACGGATAAAAATGGCTGTATAACGGATAAAAATGGATGTATAACGGATAAAAATGGATGTATAACGGATAAAAATGGATGTATAACTGATAATAATGGCTGTATGACGGATAAAAATGGCTGTATAACGGATAATAATGGTTGTATAACGGATAATAATGGATGTATAACGGATAACAATGGATGTATAATGGATAATAATAAATGATAACTATAGCTTACTGGTCTTTTAAAACTGCCATTTTTCTTGTAAATCGTTTCACTAGTAATTTAGGAAATAAAAATCCTTTTTTTGTGATTTTAAATTACCGGAAATAAAAATACTTTCGTTCGAAAATTTTGGTTTTATTAAAAAAATAAACTTTGAACGAAATTTTTTATCCAATTTAAAGCAAAAAAATGGCAGTCCACATTTTGGAAATGCCAGGACTAAGGAAATTTTCTGGTGAAACTATTGTTGCAACAAAAACATATAAAAGTGGGGCGGAAAATTGATGTCGCAAGTTATTTAAAAGATCAAATCTTGAAAAGAAATTTTCAAAAACAAAAATGAAATTTGCAAAAAATGAAATTTGCAAAAAATGAAATTTTTAAAAACAAAAATGAAATTTTCAGAAACAAAAATGAAATTTTCAAAAACGAAAATGAAATTTTTACTTTAAAAAAAGTATTATAGTGAGTTAGTTCGGTAATTTCAAAGCCCAGGGTGTTGCGACACTTTCTCTGAAACTTGTTGTAACTTTCAGACCAGGATCAATGAATGTCATCATGTATGTGATGTTTGGGCAAGTTTGTACAAAAGCGAATTAAGACTAGATAAGTTTATTACCCTGAAGCAAGTTAACAAAAAAATAACGATTTCTAATTACAAACATTAACATTGACAAATATAACTAAAACATTTTAATCACAAAAAAAGCTCTTTATAATTATTGCCTTGATAATGCAAAAACTGGTATGGGCATTTTTCACTTTTTTGAAAATGACGTTGACCGTCAATGTTAAAAACGAAACGATCGTTTTAGAAAAAAGAAATTATCAATAACTTTTAAAATTAAAAAAAACTAAAAAATTGTTTTGAGGTTAAAACTAAAAATTTTCGCTTTTAAAGGGAGTGTTAATATTTCATAATATTTTTGATTTTGTTTTTTTAGATTAATTTTCGCTGGCGCTGGATTTTCGAACATTCCTGGAAAATATGAAAATGTCGTCTTCATTATCAAAAATCCTCGAAACAGGAAAAATGTAACTCTCAGATCATGAAAAATATAAAATATTATGAAATATCAACTATTTACGAATGCGTCGAAAAATAATCGATGACTATTGTTTGTAATATCTGAATGATTTGTTGGGAATTAAATAGATTTTTTACGATCCGAGTTGAATGTTGCATCTTTCCAAATTTGAATAAACACTACGTTCTTCGGTGTGAGTCGTTTTTAACAATTTTCTCCTTATAGACGCAACAGATAGAAGTAAAATTAGTAGCGATCAAAAGCGCTTTTTTATCGCATTAAGCCTATACCCCCTTTCATTTTTCGCGAACACTCCCTTTAAAACAGAAAGGAAACATATTTTAAAACACTATTGGTCTGGAGAAGTTATTTCTAATGTAGGCAATAGTTTTTTTTTAAAAATTTTTATCTTGTTCTGTTTTTCGTTTTTTATTAGTTTTTTTTCTGAAGACGAAAATTCGTTAGTTAGTTGGTCAAAACTAACACGAGAAACTTTCATTTTTCCGATTGTTTTTAAAAACGATATTTTTTCGAACGTTTTAAAATGATATTCATCCCTATTACAAACATTATATTACAAAATAATCACTTCATATTTACATAAGATTACAGTCAAACTCTGTATATTAAAACAATATTAAAACATTTATAAAT